ACATAGGTGGCATGTGACTTGTGCATCAATTTGGCAATTGAGGTCAACACTCCTTAGGGTCAATGGCTGATGGTTTACACATGAATTATGATTATTTTAAGGGATTAAATTAGCTTAACTGATGTGGATGACACATGAAAAATTAGGCATACATTGGAATCATCTACAAACCAATAGGAGGATGCCACCTTGCAAGTGTGACAAGGCTCTCATTTTTTTTATTTTCTTTTCCTATTTTTTAATTGAGTATTCAATTGATGGGAAACACTTAGGAGCATTTCCATTCAGCACCAATTTAGATTCAACACTCATCTCATTCATCTTCTACATTTTCTCTTTCTTGTTCTTAGTGTTCTTCATTTTCTCCTTCTTCTCTCTACAATACAGCACGTCCAGCCACCATTTCTCCTTCTTTTCACCATCAAATCCACTCAATTCTTTCACCATTCTTCTCCTCTCTTAAGGCCGAACCAACCCCAAGCAACTAGAAAGAGATTTGAAGCTAAATCCAACAAGAAGCATAAAGCATGTGCCACGGCCTAGTTGTGTTCATGGAGGAAGCAAAGTGCTATTGATGTTTTCTAGCTAGAGTCTCCATAAAATCCTAGGGGAGAGTTGATGAAAGAGAATTTTTGAAGTCTTTACTTGGCTAAGCTCAACTATTTCTTCATCTTGTTTCAATTCTATTAGAATATTATGACTATTGTTGATTGAGGTTCACTTTGACTTTAGTTACATGGTTGTTTATAATTTGTAATGTTGAAACAAGATTGTTGAGTTGAATTTCATGACCTATGTGCTGTTGAAATTTCGTCCACTCTATGAATTTGCATGATAATATGTGATTTCATTGGGTGAATGTTTGTATTAGCCTAGCATGTAATTGTGTGGTGAATACTTGATGAGTTGCTTGAGTTTTCATAGTCTTGAACTTAGGTACAACTTTGGGTAGTGGTATTTGGGAATGAATTTTAGCTAAACACTTGGTTAATTTTAGAGCTAAGCTAGTAAGATTACTTAGAGGGCTTGTAATAGCACTTAGGAAATTAAATTAGTGAAGTTAAGATACTTGAGATAGTTGTCTTAAATAAATGCATTTTTTAGCTAAGGAAGAGGAGTTGAGTGAGCTGCCATAATTAATTAAAGGCTAGAAATATTCCATTAACAATACCCTAAGGCTCCTACTTAAATTGAGAAGTCACTTTTTCAAAATTAGGATTAGTTTTCCATCTTAATTCACTAGATAATTAGGTTAGCAATTAGTTAATCAACTTCAAACTTTAGGTGATTTATTTTAGTAGATAACTTTTAAATTAGACTTAAAATCATTCCTTGGAAGATGACCTAAGCTTGGCCCTGTATTGTATTAGGGTTAGCTTTAGTTTAATTTTGAAGGAAAACGGCAATCCCTATCAGGAGGTGCCATGCACCGTGGCGCATTGCAAAAAATTTGATAAATCAGTGCTATCATATGACAGCACAGGGCACGAACTTCTGATTTGTCCTGAATCTCCGTCAATGTCTGATTGAGGTAGTTTCAGTGTCTAGATGAAGCTTTCTTCTAACTCTAGCTAATGGCACTAGTTTCACATTCAAACTCATTTTCTACAAAAATTTGGACACCAAAACCTATTTTGACCACATTTTCACAAAATCTCACAAATAGGGTGTCCCAACTCAACCACACATACCAATAGCTTACATCAACCCTTTGACCATACTCAATGGACTCTTGCAAACTCGTGCAACGCACCACACACAATCAAAAATGCTTATCTCATGAAATCACCACTCAACCCCAATTTTCACAAAATAAAAAGGGGAGGAAAAGTTGTACAAAATCAACTATTTCATTCCAAATTACTCAAAATACAAATGTTTCTACTTGCACAAGTATTTTGGCTCTATCCACGGGTTCACAACTAAAGCTCACTATCCCAGGGCACAAAATACACTAGTTATACACAAAATCATGCAAGTAGTGCATAAAACATGTCAATTAATCCTAGTTGGCAATTACATTAACAAATACACATGAAAGTAACAAAAGAGAGGCATATAAAGGATTACTCCACAAATCCTAAGCCTCTGTATGTTTTTCCTAACTCGGATCCAATGAGCTAGATCTTAAAAATATTGAGAATTGAGGGGTGAGTACAACTACTTAGTAATCAAGTTTCACTTAACCCATACAGTTGCATATCAATTGTAAATAGACACAGTTAGGCAAACAAGCACATATATCGCATAACACTCAACTAGGGTTCAAAAAACTAACAACCATGTGATCGGGCTTGCCACAAAACACTATATCATGTTATTTCGTAAAAGCATAACATATGGTTGGGAAAATAACAACCATGCACTCTCAACACATGCCGACCACAAAACTAACAACCATGCGGCCGAACTTATATACATGATCATATGCCAACTTTATTTCCTCCTGTTACCTCCAACACAAAATTGGTGGCTACCACATGGCTACATCCTTTACAGACTAACCCAGCCTTCCACTTATGAGGAGCTATCGGGCCAGGGTGAACTCACTCACTTATGTAATCTAGTTTTTCCCCAATACTAACAACCATGGGGTGTCGTACCCCTAATCTAGCCTCTTCATGAACTGGTAAAGATTAGTTAGGTTTGAGTCCCTCTTAGAACAAGTAGAATATCACAAAACAACCATGGGACAAGGACTACCTCTTGATTCCAACAGTCGGTGCTAAGGCTAGTTCTCGATTCCAACGATCACTGCTAATACCACGTGGATCTCAACCAATCTACTCTTCTCCCTAGGTGAACTCCCTCCAATAATCATGTTATGCACATATTTCACATAATATGCACTTTGACAAATGATTCATAACATGTGAACTCATATAACTTAATACTCCACCTTTTAACACATAATATAATACAGTTCTCCACCCATAGTAATAAATCACAATCAATTTTGTAAAAATATCAAGGGTGGTAAAATCAAGGTTGTTTTTTCCCAAAAACCATTTCATAAATCAAGCACTTTGCTAATATGCATTATCAATTTAACTCACAAATCACATTTCACAAATACAATTAACATTCAACTATAAAGATTAAGTTTCTTACAGTTACCTCAAACCTTTGAGAGGTCAAAAGTTTATCCCTCACTATACCAACTTCCTAAAGCTTCAACAAGCTTGAATGGTGCCAAAAACAAACCTCTCTACATCCATATCACAAGAATATCATCATTATCTAACTCTTGAAACTTTATCAACATAAAACTCCACACACTATCTTAAACCAACTCATAATCACTACCCATTCATACCCAATGGGCTTATAGAATTTCATTAATGCACATTATCACTAACAACATCTCAAATCATTATTAATGCACATTAACCTCTCCCAAATACCTCATAAATATCAATTTTGGGATAATAAATGCTCCCATGGACTAACCACTTTCAAAATCATCAATATGGTATTCCAACACATTAAATAACTCTCATTTTATTTATTTTAACCAATAGAATCGGACTTATACTCCTATAGACCGAAAATCTATCTTCCAACTCAAACCTTATCATAACTCATTATAAATGAGGGAGAGAAAGGAAGAAAAAGACACCATAAACTTACCTTGAGTGTTTGGAAATTTCAATCTATCAATAATGGAACCAAATGTCGTGCCCTAGCAAAGCCAAAACTGAGCTCTTTGATTTCTTCCTCTTTTTCTGTTCTGTTTTCACGCAGCTCACGAATTGATTTATCAAAAATTTTGCCCGTGTACCACAGCACACGATGCCTTCATCGTGGTGTATAACATAGAGGAGCCCGTTACATTTAAATTGTCTCTATGTGCTGCAGTGAACCAACCACGTGCCATGGCATGTGGCACAAAGAATGGTTCTTCACTTTTTCTTCCTCTTTCCTTGCCCAGGTGGCCTATCATTGATTTGGACCTACTTCTAAGGCTAAAATCACATCAATTATGCTAAGTTAAGCCCTTCTGGCCACACACCTTATTAACTCACTAATTTTCCTCATTAAGTTAATGAATTAGGATTAAAATTTTCCAACTATTACAATTCTCTTTGAAATATTGTACATTGTTTTCAAACCCGAATCAACCCGGATGGTTGGACCAATCGAACCGTCATCCAAAGAAAAAAACGGTCTGATTTAATCATTTAGCTCGTTCTAGTAGTTGATCTGAGTTGGCCCGCTTTGACTCAAGTGGTTCTTGCAGACCCAAATCAAAAACCCATGACTAGAAGCAGTTAAATTATTTTGACCCATTTTTTAATATATATACATTAAATATTTTTTTATATTATTATGTTACCAGTTTAACCACTAGTCTAACTGGCTAAACCATAAGACCTTTTGACCCACTAATCTTTTCAATTTATTATTCGGTCTAGTTTTGAAAATATTGATATTAAATAACGACTAGCATTCCTTGGGGAAGTTAGAACTTCAAAATGTAACAGGAAAAAGATGTGGTCTCAACCCTTTGCATAATCAGAGGTAAGTCACGCGTCATTTAATTGAAGAAAAACACAAGAGTACATTCAACCGCACGATAACTAGAAACAGAGAGCAGCAAAGGAAGACTTCCAAAAGTAAAGCATGTATATTCTGAATAAACATACGCTGGAAGCTTACTGATGAACATGGAACTGTGGATGCAGCCTGCCATTTAAAGGTAGCAAAATGAACTAGAAGATGATTGATTCAGAACTCATATAATGAAGAACTCAGAAAGTGAAAGATCAAAACATTGTTGCCCCAGTAAATTACCAAGCAATACGTGTTACAGCGAGAGGTATATATTTTAGGTGGCCGATTCATCAAGTTCATGCAACCGAAAAACAACAAACCAGATTTCAACAACACCCAATAGATCAACAAAACGAAAATGCATACAGCAGCAACATTAGCAAGAAAAGAACAAACAAACGGAAAGAGAAAAAAATCAATGTCTTTGACATGCTTCGCTTGAAGGGTCAATTGTTCAACTCAAAATCAATGAGTTGTCGTCCTGATGTTGTGGACGTACCGCCTCCCTTTATCCACCTAACTTTCTTCGCATACTCAATGGAGGGAAACAATTTCCTTAATGTTTGTTTGTCGATCTGCAGCTTGTCCGTATACTTGAGGATCAAATATTTCACATTCCAGTGTTGTTCCTCTGTCTGGACTTGTCCCAAACTGCCGAGATTGCCTCCCATTATGTATAGCTTATCCAGCTTTTCCAGTCGGCTAGGATTTAACCACTGGCATCGTGTCGTGAGGAATGCCTTGAAGATGCAATTTTTCCAACCCTGGCGGAAAATGGAGATACTCTCAAAGAAATTGATCTTCTCTTACCACGCCCCAAGATATTTTGAGGCACCTGACATTTCTTAAACCCTCCAACTTCTTAAATTCATCATTAATAACAGACTCACTGCCAATATGAATACTTAGTCGCTCAAGTTTCTCTAGTTTTCGAAGATCCTCTATTCCGATGGTAGTCTCCTGTGAGCTGCCTATTATGAATCCCTTGAGTACTTGGAGCCGAGTAAGCTTGCCGAGCCCCTTTGGCATACTTTCCAGCAAGTAACATTCTGACACATCCAAATGTGTGAGCTTTTTCAAAGATACAATATCTGCTCGCAAAGTTTCTAGATTATGACAAGCTTTGAGGTCAAGAATCTCAAGGTTGACCAGTTCTCCAATGAAGGAAGGAAGTTCTGTGATTCTGGAAACCCCACGGAGGCTAAGATACTTGAGCCCCCTTTGAGTCCTCAAACCTTTTAGGAACGATTCACTCCGAACTTCAATGTGATGGGTAGAAGAAACCAGCCAACGACCCAGCTGAAGCACCTCCAATGACTTCAGTTTAGCAAACCATTCAAGTTGAAGATCAAGATAGCTCTGGTTTACATTAAAAATGCTCTTCAAATTCTCCATCTCGGATCCATTTTTACTCGTCACATTTGATCGTTCAACTATCAAACAAGTTCGATGAGGGTCCTTATCAGTGTCAAAACGTGGTATCATCCCGTCGTCCAAGCTCAAAATCTTGGCCTTTTCGGCCACAATGATCAACATGTAACGGATCCAAGGATGGATCTGACATTTATTTACTAAAGGGCATTTATCATTTCGATGTGGCATAATTAACTCAAGTTCCAAAAGGTCATCAAATATTTTTTCGCCTTTTTCCTCATCTGTTACCAGCCCTTCGCCAATCCACCAATAAATAAGAAGCATTTTCTTTAGAACAGCATTTTCAGGAAAATTTGCCAGAAGCAGTAAACAGTCTTTCAGGTCTTTTTCGAGAAGTTCATAACTCACCCGAAGACACTTGAAGATTGGATTCTTGCCTGCATCCTGCATCCTGGATTCTTGCCTGTATATAAAAATTATCAGGAATAGTGTTTATATTTGACGTCGAACACAATTTTAAATATGATTATTCATAATAAAAGAATACATATAAAAAATTTGAAAAATTATTTATAATTAAATTTTATTAAAATATTAAAATAAATAAATAAGTTTGTAGGTACTTACAACTTAACTTATCTAAAATTTTCTCTGGCTTATTTTACAAAATTTTTTTAATAAAAAATCTGTAGAATAATTTTTGGAATAAGTTTTAAAAACAAAAAATTATAAAATAGCTTATTTTCCTAATCAAACCACCCAGTGTCATTGAGCGGCCTGCTTGATATAACTAAATTATTTATAATTAAATTTTATTAAAATATTGAAATAAGTAAATTGACTTGCAAGGACCCATAGTTTGACCCATTTAAACTTTGTCATAAAGTGATGAATTGGAGAGTCTAGATGAGACGGGGCTTAAATAAAAGTGGATTTGTGAATATATTTTTTTTTTTATAACGAAAGATTTGTGAATAATTATTGTGGAATTTGGTAAGCGTGAATTGGAAAATGAAGCCTAATGATACTACCTAGGAGATTGAAAATAAGGTAAAGTAACAACACCCTCACAATTTTAGAGTCCACAGAGGCTCCTCTGCCTCTCAACTTACTCCATTATTCAAAACACATTCATCTCATGTATGCTTTCTCATATTTTTAATTTTTATTTTTAATTTATAATTTTAAAATAAAAAATATATAAAAATTATAAAAAAATTTAATAAATATCCTTATCAATTTGATAGTTAAGATTTAATATGAATAGTCTAAATTTAATATTAAATTAACTAAATATTTGAAATACAATTGAAAACCTTTAGAATTTCAAGAAAAACCTTTTAAATATGTAATTTTTTTTGTCAGCTTTGAAATAAATAGTTTGATCTCAATATTTAAATTTTTTGGAAAGCATGTTAGACAAAAGCAATTAAAACATAGTAAAACGGGTCAAAAATGTCATTTTAATACATTATAACACATATGCCACAGCATGGGTGTTCATAAGCTGCGGCATGTGGCACAGAGGGTTTATTTTTGTTGTTGTGTCGTATGCTGGCATGCTGTGGCGCATGTACTATTTCATGATAACACAATGTTGTCATGACAATTTTCAAGGTGAACTTTCAGCATATGTCATTTTCACATCCAATTAGAGTGATTCAAGTGCCAACATAAAGCTTATTCGATAAGCTAACTGATGGTACAAGTTTCGCTCTAATCTGATACCATATAAGAATTTTAGACACCTAAATGCTAAAGTCAAATTTTAAAATGATTTTTAAGCATTCAAGACTCGAAACTTAAAACTTATACCATTAACCCATTTTAAGGCTTACACTACTAATAGATCATTATGCACTTGATTACATAATTAAACAATCAATAGTACATTAAAACCAAGATTTGACCACTCTATACCCTAAATTCACACAAACCAGGCCCTTACATGTTCATGTTTCCAAATTTCACCACTTAGCCAAATCTACACAATCTATAACATGCAATCCTCATTATTATATACAAATACCAATAGCTTACACTTTAGCCTTTTCCATAAGTATCATAATAGAATCCACTTTAGGCTAAAATACCCCAATCTACATAATATACAAGTGCAATGCTATTATTCATACATCTCATAACACACAAATTAACACATCTTGCATTTATAACCAAAAATTAGCTTTCCACAAGTGATGTAATGAATACACACTATGGGTTAATTTTACCATATGATTAGAGGTCCAAACAAGCTTCTAACTTTGCCCAAATCCATGCTCTATCCTTCATCCTTCTCCTTCATGACCTAAGCTTTTGCTATCTTTTCCTCTATTTCTGATCATTTTTAAGTCTTTATGCTGAATCTATGCCATGCGTCACAATAAATGGTGCACATGCTGTGGCATATGGCACAGCGAGTAAAATTCCATTTTTAGTCCCATTTTGACCCGATATAACCCAACTTCCATTCTAGCCTAATCATGAGGCTTTAATAATCCAAAATGTCAATTAGCCACACAAAAACATGACTAATTTAATTAATAACTTAATTTACTAATTATCCTTTAATTAGCAGTTAAGTTCCAGCTTTAAAGCTCAGGATGTTACATTTAATACCACTACTCTAATGCACTAAGCCCCTTTGAATCGATAGGTTAGAGAACCTTTAGGAAAACTCTTCCTCCCTGAAGCTCTAGAACTGCTTGAGCTATAACTATGCTTTTTTGAAACACCACCCCTAGGACCTAAAGAGGATGAGAATCTTCCCATACTGTCTCTTCTTCTTTTTGCTTTGGCTTCCTGATGGATGCCTAAGTCGTGTCAGCACTCAATTAAACTAAAATTAACTTAATATAGTATAGGCCAACCTTATGTCATTCTTTCCAAAGAGCAATTTAAGGGCTATCTTAAGTTGATTCTAAGTATTTAATTACTAAAAAAATCTAAAACAAAATGCTAGATTTCTACTCTAAAATGCAAGTGAGAAAATGCAATTTATGCCACTAAAACTTCCTAAATGGATGCTAAAGCTAAACTATAACAATTAAATTCTATTATGCAATGCATAAGCACTAAATTATGATTTGGGGGGTTTTTGTTTCAAACAAAAATGAAATGAAAGCTAAAGAAATTAATTAAGTGACAAAAAGGAATAATTGATCAAAAATTAAGAAAAGTTTGATTCAAATGTGTTAAAGGGGACAATTTAGGACATCATATGGAGTTTAACTTTCCTAACTCAATTCAATTAGTTAGACAAAAGGAAAATGAGAGAAGAGAGTATAATTAATAAATTCAATTACCTAATTATAACAAAGAGAACCTATAAGCACAAAGTCTAACAATTAATCCACTAGAGAACTTATAGTAAAGCAAATGCCATAACTATGAATTAAATAAATTAAATCCATTAAAACCAATGATGGTTAATTCAAAATAATTTTAAAAAAATATATTTAAATTTTTTAATTGAATAATTAAATAAATTACCAACTCAATCGAACAATCAAGAGGTAAAAGGAACACCTAAATTTGCAACAAACACCACAATAATAATTAAATTAACAATGAGAACTCAAACACTAATTTAATTGGCAAAGCAAGGATGTATAAACATAAATTTCAGAAATTCATTTAATACAAAATCAATCCAAATATTAATCTAATTCAAGATTTAAAATATTTACAACTTAAAATTAGATTATCTTTCAATATTACAACTTAGAATCATTTAAAACTAAATAATTATAAGCTCTTGAATTAAAAAGATAAATGAAAAATCATGAAAAACTAAAAGAAAAGAAGAGGAGAGAGCTGCCTCAATGGAGGTGGCAGCTGTGTGGTGAAGAATTAGGAAAATTGATCCAATGACTAGAAAAGTGGGTAAAGAGTTTAAGAAAAACTCTCAACCATTGAATCAAAAAGAGCCAGTGAGAAAAAAGATTAAAAAAAAGTGTAAAAGTCCTCTAATTTTTCTTGATTGAAAATGCCCATTGTGCCATTAATGAACCTTGATAATTACTTACTTATCTTATTTCTTCATAGCCCTTGGATACTCTTTCAATTTTTAAGATTCAATCCTTACCATTAAATTTCATTAATTTTATCTCCATGGCGTAAAGAAAAGAAAATTCAAATGCACCCATTAGTGTAGATCATATCCAAAATAAATTCCATGTCTCATAAAATATTTCCAAATTAATTTTTTTAGCAATTATAATTTTCTCACAAAATGGTCACAAACTCAAATAATGTATAATAATTCAAATTAAGCTCAATTAATGATTGGCAAAATTAAGTCATGTTAAAAATAGGAAAATAAAATATTCACAAATTAGCCCAAAATTCCTATAATTAATTCAAAAAATATATTATTCCTCAAAATTGGTTAATAATCCAAATAATATCTAATAAAGCCAAAATAGCCCGAAATCATCATTAAAATGCATAAAAAAGATGGGATAAAAATATAAAATACATGATTCATCACTTCCCTACCTCTTTTGGTAGCCACTTTCAACTTATGATGCATCTCCTCATATGAGTTCACATCAAGCAAAGCGATTTGCTGCTGATACTTAGGTCACTTCTTCTCTAATAATCTTTCTGCCTTCTATCTTGTGTCATTACTATGCTGTAGATAGGTAGAATAGGCCGACAAATAGTTAAACCTTCTGATGAATTCTTTATCATCCAAATCCCCTTGCCTGAATGCATGAATCTTCTTTCTCTGTATGGAAGGAGATTGAAAAGTAGTAGTCAAGAAGACCTTTTTTAACTCTCCTACCTCAATCTTCCACCCCCAGACGGTCCTACTAAGTGCTACCATTTCTTAACTACTCCGACTAACTGTACCATAGTTAAAGTCACCTTTTGCTTTAATGTACAGACCACCACCTCGAATATGGCCTTAAGGCCCTCTATCCACAACTCAGCCTCACTCTTCTTCATGTTACCATCAAAAGTCAATGGACAAAATCTTACAAATGTCTTTTAGGCTCTATCAATAGATGGGTCCACACTGGCCCTAACCGCCTGTCTACTACTTGAATCCTGAGATGGTTCAAGTCTACTCTATGCTTCGTCGTGATCAAGTCCACCTTGATCATCTACTTTGTCACTGTGACCTCTATCCTTAACAGCACATCATGATCATGTATTGTCCTCCTTATATCCATAACCATGTCCCCTATCTCCTTCAAAAACTGATATCGTCTATTAAGCAATTATTGCTCAAGGAATTAAACCTCTGGTAGCTATCGATAAGAAGTTTGAAGCTCAATACCTCTTCTCATTTTTCCCCTCCTAAGGATGGAATAGAAAGGATAAATTAAGCAAAAAGGAAAGAGTGGTGTAATGCCCTTTCTGACTTTATGGACTAACACACTAGCACACTTAGGTTTAAAATTGAAAACCATAAAAGAATGGTTGGTTAGGATCCCAAAATA